ATGATGATAACAGAAAGAAAAACACAGAAATATGTTTATTAGTTTATTTATAAATACAGTATATTATTTACACTGTAAGTCCTCCAACTGGAAGACAACAAAAAGGCATCAAGGCATTAATCTGATATCTAAAACTCCATCCCCACCACCGGTGTACATAACCAACAACAACAACATCCACATGGACCTTACCTCAGAAGAAGCAAGAGTCAAATCATGAGCAATTTAAAGTCAGTCAATGAACTCTTTCCCCACATTGTTGGCAAGAGGATAAGGCGATTCAATAAAGTCCGAGGACCATTACAGGAGAGATTCCGACTGCCCATCTCACTTACTAACATCTTCATTTGCTCTCACTAAATTTTTCAGGTGCAAAAAAAAAATAAAATACTTAATTGACCACATACTGTCGCAAAACACCGTTCAAATCCACTGCTGAAAGTTCACTGTCTCTAAGCAGAAAATCCAAATACAGCTCGATCACAAATTCTACCTCAATAACAAGTGGCCAAGTTAACTGTACTGATTTATGGTAACAATAGATCCCAGAAAGCATCTACGATAATGTGACTACTCTGGATTTTTTAAAAAAATCTGATGTATATGACTTTTACTTCTGAAATAATGGCCTTAACTTCACAAAAAAAGGAATTTGTATTTTCACAATTACTTTAATTCATCTAACCACAATCCTGAGATCATCTGGAGAGTAAGAAGAAAGCTTATGCATGTTAGAGCCACACTCACAACCAGGTTATTCACCATGAAAGCCGTACACACCAACAGATGTCCAGTCTTTCTCCAAGCAAAGATTATTATGGTTTGGGTTCGTTCTGAGCTCATCATACATATTTAAAATAAAGTTGCCAGTTTCCAAATGAATTACGGCGTGTCATATCTATCATTTCCACCCTCTATCCTTATTTTTTTCTATTCTGCTGATTTATAAAAGCACAAAGCATCCTTTAAACTGCCATTACCTTTATAAGATCACAAAAAGCAACTTGCTGAAGCACTGAAACATCCAGCAAAGCCAACGCCAAGATTCCCACTTAAAAAGTTGTCTGCAAAGGCTCTAACGCGTTCACTCACCGCAGTGTAACAGTGCACAAACATTTTGCCTAATACTGACCAAGAAGAACTACAGGAGTAGAACTCAAGCGGGCCTTAAACTTTAATGCAGTCACACCATCCATCTACCAGCAAAATGTCACTACCAAGCGCACACAAAACTGCTTCTCACAATACTCTACAAGCACGATGCAGTCTGCAGTGTACTCCTGCTGCTGACCTATGGTAAATAATCCTATATAATCAAGTATGAAGGATTCTAAAAGTGGAATATCACGTAACATAAAGCAGAACTTTGGCTGCAAACTTAACCGTAATGATCATTAATCTGTCTACTTTAAGCTTAACAAGTAAGCCTTTAACCTGGTCAACCTAAGAAGGTTACCTTCTCCCATTTCCGCCTGAAAAACTTTGCCAGGATTTCCTTGGAATAAAGATAACACTTTGGTGGTTCAGACGTGGGACCATTTGGTCAAAGTTTGGGGTCATTTCTTAAAAGCAGTACAATTAAGTTTCCTCTGGAGCGAGCGCAATCCTCCCCATTCATGACTGCTTTTACACAAACTCAAAGGAAAGCTGGTGACCCAGTGCATTGCTTGCACAAGCCGACATGCTATATGCATGCATGCATTCTTTCGTCTGTGTGACATCTTAATTAGAAAAAAGAAAAATTGTCATGCAATTTCTTAAGTAGCTAAATTGAAATTTTTAAACTCCAGTTCTTCTGACTTAGCAAATATGTGTAAACTATAAAAAAAGAAAGGCATTTGAACCTAATCAGATGAGTTAAGACATATAATTAAGGGCCTCTTATTACAATGCATAGTTAATTGCTGTACAATACATTTACAAATCAATGACTGAAACATTAAAACTTTCAACCAATTAATCTCATCTAGACGTTTTAAAGGAAACTCCAAGATCGTCACCCTTCAGTGAAGCCCTTGAAACAATCACCGAGCCTGCTCGTCACAGTTACCGAGAAGGTACACGGTGGCAACGTTGGTCAGCGGGAATGTTATGCTCTGAACCTGACAGTCTCCTTCCACGATACAAGCAATAGCGAGAAGCACGGAGTGAAAACGGTATCACACAAAGCTGACACGTAACATTGGAGTGTCTGCGTCTCACCATGCGAGATACAAACCCCAGAATGACAGAACAATGCAACATCACAACAAAAAGAGCTGCAGCTGAACCAAAAACAAACAGAAGTACTGCATATGCGGCGTGTAAGGCAGCTTGACAAAAAACTGCATGTGCCTCTTTCCCGCAAACTGGTTCGTTTGCGCGGAGGACACATGATCATCTGATTTTAGGGCCAGACTAACCCAGCAGATACAACAACCGAATTTATTTCTATTTGCCCCAAATTTATAATGACCTAACATCAGTGATGACTGCAGTTTTGTAAATTTTTACAAGCCTTTCAAATCAAATGGTTTTGCTTGAAAATGACTTTTTCAATGGTTGGATCACATGCAAAGATCCACAAATGAAATTGAAAATACCACTATGATCCGACAGGAGCAGTTAGCTTTTCTTTTGATTTTGTTTAGGGGAGGGTTTCTTTTCCTTTAGCATCTCGTGGTAACATCTCCTCTTTGTTAGGAAAGTATAAAAGATGGACGCAGCTCCTAGGACATGAAGCCAACATGGAAGTGCTTTAAATATACGTTCTTTTTAATGGCCTCCAAGAAATGCTTTTATGGATCTGATCACATTAGATAAAATATTAAATACATTTTGCTCATTCTAAGTTTCAGAAAGGCTAATAATCCATTAGCTGACCATTTGTGATTGACAAGTCGTCAACCAAGAAGTGTGCAGTTCACTGACCTCTGGGTGACCTCACTGTGGCTACGTCCAGCTTTTACACTGTCTATGTTTCTCAGTATTTTTGGAGTCATTTTTGGGTTGGCACGCCCCAGATTAAACAATTAAATATGGCTGTGTTTTAGAAACTGTTTATATTAATCATCCTTGAACGCATCTTTACCTCGCTTTTAAAGAGTGTCAAAAGTGGGCTGAGCTGAACCCAAATGTGCAAGTATACAATAAATGTAACAGTAATATTTATCAATTTGATCTTTAGATATCAAAATTAGTAAAGCTTCCAAAAAGTCCTACATCACCGCAGCCTGACTACGCACCGTGACCTAAATAAAATTCAAGCCGAAAATCACTTGCACATCAAGTAGATCCTTGATAAAGTGGAGATGCAGAGACAGATCCACAGAAAATAAAGCTGAGCTAAATATAATGTGATTCATCATCACTTCAAATTAACGGCTGTGGCTCTGGAGAAGCAAAGAGTTTTCAACCTTTCAAGTATTTTTTTTGTTGAGTTTGATTTTTTTTTTATGTGGAGAAAATATTTGATTTCCTTAGAAAGTGATTTCAAATGTATATGATCGCTCTTCCTTAGCAAAACCCCTAAAAAGTGATGAGCTGTGTTAAATATATAAAGTTTCAAGGATATATTGCTTTTT